ACGGCTTCTACGTTTCAGAGAAATACTTTTGCTCGCGTCAGTGGTATACGCTTCTACGTTTCAGAAGAAGAGGGAAAGGAAATTCAGAAAAAATAACGTAATCTAAATTAAACGTAAAACTTCAAGAAGCATCAATTTCCGTAGGAACAAATTAGGTGTAATTTCACAGCAGAGGTGTTCCTTCGTTCTTTCTTCTACACCGTCTAATTTTACCCCGCTCGTTAAAAGTGTCCACGGTTTAAACACTTCGCTTAACGAAAAGAGCCGCCGCACCCCGAAGAAATATTTTCGATCTTTCGTGGACAGCTGGAAGGCATATGTTGCTCCATCGAAAGGAAAATAAAAGCTTCTTTCCCTCTTCTCGCGTGCACTTTGTTATCGGCGCTTAGCTTTAACTTTCGTGGTGTGCTCTCACGCGTCGACCGATCACCCACTGTGCCAAGTTAAGAAAGAAAGAAAAAGATAAACGAAAAGGGAACAACCGCGACATCGTTCTTTCGCCCACGCCACAAATATCATCCTCAGAACGTTGACGAAAACTAAATCGCGGTTGGTATTTTTTTTCTTTCTGTTGTTGTTGCTGCAGGCCGAAATATCGAAGAGACTGAACGCAATCATCGCACAGATTTTGCCCTTCCTGTCACAAGAACATCAACAGCAGGTCGCCACCGCTGTTGACAGGGCAAAACAGGTCACGATGACGGAGCTGAACTCCATAATTGGGGTAAGTGTGCATCATGCTCTGTAATTGACTAATTTTCGAAGGAGGGAAGGAACGAGTGCGGCCGTTTCGATCGGCGGTCGGTGTGTGTCAGCATCAGGATGTCGCAACAGGTGCATCATGGAAATTACGCGTATTTCTCCGTTGAGAAAAAAGGTTAGCAGTCGTTTGCCAATCGAAGCTGCCAGTTGGAAGAACGTTGTGCGAGTCCAATAACCGTGGCGATTCGAAGAGAGGCAGCTTGAAATAAGTTTTATTAACTTCATAAATCGTTCGTTACGACGTGCCTGGGGGCCTCGTTAAAATTACTTTCATCGTAACACGTGGGGGGACTATTCTTCGTGAAAAAGAAACAAAAAATAAAAATAATAAAAAAAGCCCGACTTTTCGTCGGTGGTAATTGGTAAATTTATTCTGTTGGTTATTCTACAGTTCTGAATTTTTTTTTCGAACTGACGCTTTTTTGTACTTAAAATACGTTTTTATATTAAAAAGTTCGTCCTCAAAAAGAATTTAATTTATTTCTGTTCTCTAATAGTCTATTTCATACTATAAAATATAACCATCTCCGACCCTTGACAACCCAACTCAACTTTCCACCACCGCCACCAAACACGTTTCTTTCGTACACCTTTTTCATTTCAACCCCACACCACCCACTCTCATACGATCCGGCCGTTCCAAAGCGAAATATCGCATGTTGCACTTAGAAGCCCGAGCATGACCTCTATATTTCGGGGCGAAAAGAAAGAAAGAAAGGGAGAAAAAAGGAAAGGAAAGTGGTGCACACAAGGCAAAAACCTATTGCACCGGGCAAACCATCGAGCAGTTTTACACGCGACCAGCCGCTTATTCGGCTGAGCGGGTAATTTAAGGTCGTTAAGTCGGGTGAATCATCCTCGTGTATCCATTACCTGACCCTGACGAGTCGCAAGCACCATCGCGGCGCAGCTTCCACTTAAAGACTTTTTTACGACACCGAGAGATTCGTTCGCTCATCAACCTTTGCTTGAATTTACATAATAGACCGACGCCGAATCCGAGCATGATCGTGTGTTCTCGTACATGTATACCAAAGGATGAAGATGGGGTGAAGAAACGACGCGTTTCTTCGTCAAACAGTGTCTCGTACGACGGACTTCCGGTGGAGAACGTTTTTCTCATACTCATGGGGCGGACACTATGGGGCCCTGGTAGCGCGTACACACAGTCGACGGTGAAATTGGCATTCGACCGCCGCGGCACGTATAATTGAGTTCCGAGTTGGTTCTCGCGTGCACGACTTGAATAATTCCGTGGTCTCTCTCCTCGTCGATGGCCTAAACGAATGCACACGACTCTCTCTCTCGTCGCACCCTGGCCACGCTTGAATTATTCTTCCTGCACGCGTGCGACGCACGGGGAACACGAGGCGCGTTAAAAAGCATCGATAAACTGAACATTTTCTTTCTTTTTTCTTTTTCTATTTGTTTTGCGTGACGTGGTAATTCAAGTCTCGGGTTGGTTTTGAAATTTCAGCGAAACGGGGAAAAATGCCGGTTTCATGCCGGGGCAAAGATAGTGTTTCGACATGGATATCGTGATTCTCTTTTCTCTCTCCCTCTCTCTCTCTCCGTCCATTAACGTGACCAGTGAAAAAAATTAATTGGTAGTTATCTGATTGATACTGGGAATATTTAACGGCACATATCAAAGAAATAAACGAGATGGTTGTAATTCAATGGATTATAAGAGATACAAGCCTCGATATTGTTCCTGTGTTTACGACTGCAAGATACTATTTAATACGTCGAGTTTCTTGGCGAAAAAGGAAGACAACTTCTTCTGGGTTGAAAATACTTTCGTAACCACTCGAGAACGGCAATTAATGCAAATTTCGCTTATCAAATTTTTTTTCACGTATTGTGTAAACCTATAATGAAATGTTTTTACAAATACTTCTTTTTTTCCCCACCAATGTTTGTGTAGAATTATTCCGAATAATTACTTCATCTGATTTCAACATCATCCTAGCCATCGTTCCAGTTCAACGTTACCAATCATCTAAACCATTCACAAAAGAAAAAAAAGATCGATCAATGAAAAAAAAAAAAGAGAAACAGACAGACATGCTCATTATCCATCCCAATAGTCGCGTACAAAATCAAACTAGTCCCACTCCGTCGTCCTCGATTTAACGAGCGCTGGCCTGACCGCTACAAATCGTCCGATCGAGGTCGTGACACAAACCGCAATCTGCAGTTGCGTAATACGCGTCATCGGCATGTGGGGACATAATCAGTGCGTGCACTCCTCGCGCGGCCGGTGGGGTACAAGGTGAAGCCGGCAGTGTGACACGTGCACATGCACTTCTCGTTCCTGCATACTATATACGATGCACGTAGATCTACCAGAAGAGGGGGACATTCTGTTAGCTCTCTCTCTCTCTCTCTCTCTCTCTCTCTCTCTCTCTCTCTCTATCTCTCTCTTGAGTACTCTTCATCCTAGGGTTCGAAATGCTAAATAAAGACGAGGAGACGAAACGTGCATAGAAACAGACGAGAGAAAGACGCATATAGAACGAAGGCGTATAGCAAAACCCAACGAACGCAACGCAACGAACGAACGAACGAACCAGAGAGGAAAAGAGAAACAGAGATAGAGCGTAACAGGAGGGGCTAAAGGCTGAAGGGACGACGGAGGCAAATAGACATAAGCGCCAACCCCCATGAATATGTATTACTCGGTAAACAGGGGTTGAATCAATATTTCGTTTAATAACACTGTACGCTGGAACGCAATTCTCCTCTCTCTCTCTCTCTCACTCCCTTCATCCCCCTGTCTCCTCTGTATCTGATTGGACCTCTCTGTTTCACCCTCTCGTTTCCCTCCTTCTTCTTCCTCTCTTGAACGTGCTCCTACCATCATCGCAACCCTCCCCCCTATCCACGCACAGACAGAGATTGCCACACAGAACAGCCAGCCAGCCAGCCAAGCCAGCCAGCTAGAGGGGTGCATTTGTACCGGCGCACAGGGTATTCTCTGACACGTATTTAAACGCACAGGTATGGACGAGTCGCACCTCGGGCAACGCGCGATGCTGCTGGACGTACCGATCCACCCCTCATACTGCCTGCATGTGCCCTCCCCTTCCGCGTATTATTCACGCCGCGTTAAACCTCGTTTGGGACTATTACGTTTCGTTTGCCGCGTGCTGCACGAACGACAACGGCCTCCCGTTGCCTCGAACGCGAATTGAATACCGCCGGGGCTCGTGCCTCTCCCCTTCCGCCCGATTTTCGACCTGTATACCGCTTATTTATCGCGAACGCGTAGGTACTTGGTCAGAACGTTCGGTTTTTTTCTTCTCTCTCTCTCTCTGCATCGTGACCGCCACCATCGCGAGGCTCGTTACACCAGGGGGATGGAATAATTGCGTAGGCGGGGAACGCGATTTCCGATGAAAATAACCGGGACTGTCGATGCGTTTCCTGTAGACCTTGTTGATGGGAGAACGTTACACGATTATTGCTTGTTCGACGAATCAAATTGGACGTTCCTTGCTTCTTTTTTTTTTGTTTTTTGTTGTTGGGTACGCTTGGTGAGATGGGGAAGAGTGGTGTAACTGGCTTTTATCTTTGTTTAGAGGATAGTATATGGGAGTGGTAGAGGGTTGAAATGTGATTGAAGAGTTTTTTTTTTTGTTACATATGTGAAACTGAGTGCGTTCGATGTGAGGAAAAATGGAAATTTGTGTAACGGAAGTTATCGGAATTAGAGGAAACAGGAGGAAGATCGCCGTAACGACCGAGTGACTGTGAATTCTTTCGGAGTAATTAAAAAAAAGATTCTTAATAATGCACACGTTCCGAGCGGTTACGTAGTCGCTGTTGTCGCGAGACACGTTTCAACGGAGACGATAGAGTTAATCGAAACACATTTATATAAAATGTATTTCTGTCGAATATTATCTTTGGAGTTTGATAAAAATTATTTAGCCGTCGGTTGTTTTCCTTAATAATAAACCTCTTGGCCGGTCTTTCTGTAGAAAAACATTGATTTAGCGACAACTAAAATATCCTCCTGTGTAAACGTACATATCTCGAGTGAAATAAATCTTCTATCACAATGTGTCAATTTACGAAAGATCGGAACGTCTGAAGTATGTTCATTCGAAACGTTTAATTATAGTACAGTCCAGACCAAAATTCTCTTCTTGACCTACTGTTCCACTTACCTCCTGCACATTAATCCATTCCGTTTCTTTCAAATTATCCTCAAAGATACCCGAAAGAGATTCTCCATCCGAAATATTCCGTAAAACACCGTCTGCGACACGCCACTTACCACCAACCCCCGTCGATGAAAGGGTCTCGCGACGCTGAAAAAAAAAAGCGACGTTCCGCGAGGCGTGTCTTAAAAAATCGATACCCCTGAAAAATGAACGTCAACGAGGTCCTCCTCGTCCTCCTCCTACGTTGGCCGTCTCGTATACTCTCGGGGTCCCTCGTGATGGTCGTTCGTCGAACGGGCCTCGCATAGAAAAAGTTGTTGCGCGTCAAAAGCCCCTCGCCGGAAGTCGAGTGGCCGCAAGGCAAATTGCAAGCTACATCCGTGGAGTAGGTACACGTGCGTAGGGCGGCGCAAATACGTCCCTAGGGGGTAAACTGTGCTGCGGGGAAGACCATGCGAGCCGTATACACACACACACACACAGGTTCGCCACGATCCCTCGTCTCTCCCTTGGCCCATTCAGCGACACAGTCCAGGAAAATAACTATCGTACACAATCGGCGCGTACCCCGAGAGGGGTTATTTCGCATAATCCACCCTCTGTGGTGCGACCACCGACCCTCGTTCCAAGAGAATCGTGTGTTACCTTCCTTCCCTACTTCTCTTTCTCTCCTTTCGTTGCCCGACCCTAAATACCTAAGTGAAATCCACGATAAGCATGATTCGCACACGTAACGAGTTTACCGGCCTCTGTTATCCCCTCTTGATCTTACGCTGGATTTCTCTCCCCTTCTAATTCCCTTCTTCTCTGTCTTGGTCGATTTCCTTCTCTCTCTCTCTCGCTTCGTTGACATTCTTCGGGTGTATTTGTAACGATGGATTCATCCCCCTTTCCTTTTTCTTTTCGTTGCTTCTTATGGAACAGCTTTAGAGGCCTCGTGACCATCGGTCTTTGCCGAAGGGTCCTCGAGTATGGATTCGTTTTCACCCCTTGCTCTGTGACCGAACGTATGACGTCAGGTTTGCCCTTGCTTCGGGATGACATTTCATCCTGACTACGGAGGTGTAAGGAAATGTACCCTGGGGAGAAGGGATCGTGGAGTTATGTGGTCTTGCGGTTCGAGTAATTAGCATCGACGTTGTGTTTCGTCTAAACCTTGAGTTGTTCGTTGGAATTTTAGAGTTATCCTGTTTATCGTCGGGTGTAGTTTCTTGGTAGATCGATTTAATCGAGATGTTCGCGTTCTCCTTTCCCTGTAAACGTTTAACCTGTTGCCTTCCGAATTCAGCAATGTCCGTGCACTAGAATTAATCGTTCGAACGTGTCAAACTCACGTTAAACGACAAAGATGCTGTGCATTATACGTAGATAACTATGTTTCGATATTATGTTACGTTAAAATTCATGCATACATAATCTGTATTGCTATTGCGATTTCGGAAAGACCATAATTCACCGGGCGTTATAAATCAACGGGTTAATTTGAACACGTTGTAGAAATATGGTGCATTGTTTTATAATTAGTGCATTGTAATTAACGTGTGTACATATTGTTGTTCCTCAAAGGATTCCCACTGTGATTTTTGGGCTACTTTAAACGATGCGATAATAATACGCGATAAACGAAACATTTCGACGGAAAATTTCGACTCGAAATTAATCTTAAATTATAAATATCCGAAACCTACCCCGCCCAAGTATAATCTGAAATTTTGCAAATTATTCCACAAATGTACAAGCTACCTCGAAACGTTCCAAAATTTTCAACGTTGAAATGAAATTATGTTAGAGATATCCGTTATTTATTCCTATCTCAATCTCCTAAACTAGAGGATGAGCATTGTTGATAGTAGTATTTTCGTATGTTGCAGCAACAGAGACCTGATATATCAAGACTGCTGCAGCAAATGCATGCTCAACAACTGCCACCGGGGACGGCTTTAGGCGCTCATCCAGGGCTACCCGGACTTCCGGGACTAGGACCAGCTGCTGGACTTCCGGTGCCGACTTCCGCCTCCTCTGCTCTTCTTGGTCTCGGCCTAACGCCGGGGGCAGCCACAGCACCCGGCACAACAGCAGCTCATCCGCTGTCGATGCTAAGTAAACCGGAACTGCATCGTGGCCAACCCGATGATTTAAAGAGCAATGGCGGTGAGTATTTCACCCTTCCTTCTTTTTTTCTCTTCTCTCTTTTCTTCTCTCGGTTGCCTTTTCTACGATATTTTCTTTCCCTTTGTAACAGTTTCTTCCTATTAATTTTTCTTTTCTTCTAACCCTTTGACCGTTTTAACAGCTGATTTTCAACGTTTCCTTTTTTATTTTTTTTTTCTTCGCGCAACAAGTATATATATGTATATACGTATATATACAACAAGCTTTTTCGATAATGTATTTTCGGAGGTTGAACGTTGAGAGAAAATAATCAACGTCCTAAACAAATATTACTAGAACTCCTTGGCAAGAAAAGCAGGAACCCGTGGTAAATGACAGTAACAATAACAAGATAAATATCCCGCTTGTTTGCGCAAAGACTCACTCTTGCTACGTGAAAATTCGACGAGTAATAGAACGACGGTAAACCTTAGCTGAAATACGTCAGACGCGAAATATATACATATTCCTTCTAATAAAAAGTTTTTATTCGTTGGATGAATGAAAAAAGAAAAAACGAGATATCATTTTTAGAAACGATCACGCGTCTTAACTGGTACAACATATACCTAGCGTTAAAGGGTTAACTGTGACATAATACGGGGGTGGATTGAAAAGTTCGCGGTTTAAGTATGAAAGCGCAGTTTTTAGGTGCTTGCAATTTGTACCGTGTAATCTGTGATCATTTGCGTACAGACGTACGAAGTTTCGTGGCTCCGTCGTTATTTTTCTCTCTTTTACAGCTGGTGAGGTAGAGGTGTTTACAGCGACGGAGAAGAGACGAGTAGAAGTGAGAAATGATCCAGTACCTGGTGACGAAGGACCTCACCGCAAGGACCTTGAATGATTTTCACAAGGACTTGGAATAATTTTTGCAAGGTCCTTGAATGATCTTTGAAGTGAGGTCCTTTATCTTCGGGTATTGGATGCTCTATCTACTGCAAGTACCTGTACTTCACTAGCTGTAAAAGAGAGAAAAATAACGACGGAACCACGAAACTGTATACATTAGTACACAATTAATTGCATATCGTATGGTAAAAATTACCAGCACTTGGCAACGATCCTTCATACTTAGCCCGCGAACTTTCCAATCCACCCTAGTACAATTACACTCCGCCTACGAAATCAAAGTTTCTCAGAAAAAAGGAAAATCTCTTCAGATTGCTTCCAATCTTAGGACCGCATACCAAAGTCGCCTATTATCAAGGCTGGGTTCAAACCCCGGAATCAAATTAGCGCCGGTTAATTTCCACGCTTCCTCTTACAACGCATTACATTCGCGTTCACTCGGTAGCAATTCCAAAAAACCACAAAAGACCGGTACAGGGTGGCGTTACCAAGCTCTCCCCATTTCTCCTCTCTCTTTCCACACCCTTTTCCCTTCACGATCGAATTCCTCGCTATTGGGTCCGGTCCACGGGAATCGTAAAACCCCGGAATACTCGTTATACGCATACCTTCCGCCCTTTCACACGATTTTAATTGCCACCTCTGTGGGCAGCGCGGCGGGAAAAGAAATTAACGAAATTCCGGCCTTTGGTCACGTTCGAGTGGCGAGGCGCGGTGGTTGCCGCGCCCGTCATATAACGAATCGCACCTGCGCATGCGCACTCGCTCGTTTGTTCTCTCCGCTCGCGAGAGAGAGAGAGAGAGAGAGAGAGTTTCGCGTTTGCGAGGCACAGTCCAGACCACCGGTGGGGGGATTTTTCCTCTTTTTGTCACCATCATCCGTTTGATCCCGCTTTTGCGATACTCCCTGGCAGAAAAAAAAAGAGAAAAAAAGGGAAGAGAGTGTATGCTTATACATATATATATACACATATGTGTGTGTACGTACGTGTATAGGGGGGGGTGGTATATGTATGTATTTATGTGTGCATCGAAAACGCGGGGGATCTCTCTGTGGAGCCACGGGACAGTCGACATCGTAGGGGTAAAGGGTTGGCGAGGAGGGTATACGGGGAGGGGTTGAAAAAAAAAAAATATGTAGCCGACATGGCGGCGGAGGCGTGCGGCGCGGCGCGGTGTGCGGCTCGACCCGCTCGACTGGAAATTTTCAAAGCGCTTTTCGGGTATCCGCTTTCGGCGGGGGTGAGCGTGTTTGCGTCACCCTGTTAGCGGACACCGGCGGTTTTGAGCGAAAAGCGCATAAATATGCATGAAGATCATTTATACGGGCGCCGCTCGCGCTTCCACTATCCGCGCCACACTGCACACACACACTCACGCACACTTTGCGCCTATATATGTGTATAGCTCATCCTCCCCATAGTTCACACTGTGTGTTTCTGTGTGGAGCTCACACTCCCTGTTGTGTCTCTCTTTTATGGTCACGTTATTAACATTTTATCGACGCGCGGTGGCCGGGATTTCGACAATTTTTTTTCTCGTTCACCTGCTCACCCTCCACCTCGCTCTGAACCTTCTATCATCCCCTGTATCCGTTCTTTCCAGTTTTCTTTCTGTTTTTTTTTTTTTGTATTTTTCTCTTTATTTTTTTGGGTGAGGCCAACGTCATGCATGAAAATGATTTTTTTCCGTGAAAACTTTCCGCACGGCTTTTGACTGACGACTGTTTGCGTTTGTCTCGTTACAGGTCTCAGCTCGACCGAGGAGAGACACGTGAGTAGAAAATATTTCGTTCTATTTTTTGTCTACCGGATCATTCTATTTTTTTTTGTTTTTGGTTTTTGCTCTCTTCTTTCTCTGTTATTCCTCTCTCTCTCCCACTGTTTGTTTGTTTCTTTTGTTCGTTTTTTCACTATCTGTCGAGCGTTTATTTCGAATGTAGCGAACCGCGACCGGGGTGGGGTATCTACGAGTTTTCGAACGAATTTTATGTTAAAGAGAACGCGTGGGTGGAAATTTTTTTTGGGGATTTCTCGGGGCTTGGAATTTTCGATCGAACACGTCGTCTGATTAGCTTCGGTTGATTTTTCCAACGCGTCTTGGCCACCTGAACGAATTTTCATTTCCGGAACTGTTCGATTCTCTTTTCACGTCACTCACGATCATTCTCGTTCAGAGTTTCACCCTTACGCATCGACCGTATCGCAATCTTCGCCCATCTTTCGGAAAACATCCTCGCACAGTTGCCAATCGAAAGTGTTCTCCCCCTTTCGAAGTTTATTTCTCGTTACACCGTGTCTCAATCCCCCGTTTCTCGCCGTTGTCGCTTTTTAACGAATAACTTACGGGATGGTTGACGCGTGTAGCGACGCAGAAATCACGCACAACGGTAACGTCGTCGTTTCGAATGAAATTATTAATGCACGCTGAAGAGGCGGCGGCGTGGTGCTGCTCTTTGTTAGAATTTTCGAGCGTCAGCGAGGGAGAGAGAAGGAGAAAAAGGGATGGGACGCGCTTTATTTTTCACGTGTCGTAATTAAGGTTTACTACGCAAATGAAATTATGTCAGCGTCGCTGTTTTATCGCGGATGAAACAATAATATGCGCGGAGATTTACGGTTCCATATTTTCACTCCGGTAAATATTTCTCCCCTGAAACGCAGACAAATCATTTATCGAAATGTCGAGTTAACAATCGGATTATCCGTCGAACTTCTACGTACGATCTATCGCATAAATAAATAAATATGCGAGCGGATGGGCATTTTTTACCGCTTATCCGTTCTCGCCGCTGTTTCCGTCTGAAATTTCGAAAGGATTTAATGACGTAGATAAATAAATCCAATTGAAGCGAGTCGAACGAACGAACGAACGAACGAACGAATGCAGGGCAAAAATCGTCTCTGTATTTTCAACGATTAAAATTGCTTCAACATCCCGCGTCTCTGTTACTGAATTTATGACTACCACCGCCCGCGTATATGTACGCACATATGTATATACACGTAGCTACGTTGAAAAGAAGTTCCTTTCGTTCCTTTTCGAACGTGAAAATAAATTGACGGAAATATTTGATCCGCGTTCTGATTATTTATGAGAATGTTCCTGAGTCAACCTGGCGTTTAATAATACGACGGGTATAGGTGTTACGCGCGCATCATGACACGCTTTACTAACAAATTCTTTTGTCTCTTCGCACGCGAGCCTACGTAATCGCATGCATGTAGCGCATACTTTTTCCGCAAGTGAAATTATACAGTGCGAAAAAGAAAATGTACATTCATTCGTATAATCTTTACGGAAAACTACTGACGAGGAAGCGAAATGTCACGCGAATGAATAAAAAAAAAAAAAAAACGAATAATCCACAATGAGAAGTCGTACTTACCGACATTCATATTTCTCACATCACGCTCACGTTTATATACAGTCACCAGTATTTCTCCACTCTCCTTCGCGACTATCTCTCAACATGGAGCACAGAAAAATCGCGTTTTAATTAATCTCTCGCAGACAATTCTATCTGGAAAGGATGTGAATCAATTCCGATAGAAAATGATAGATACAAAGAGATAAGAAGAAAATTGAATCGTTACAAAAATTCCTCTATCTTCTCCCGTTCTTTCGCCAGTTTATGCAACAAAACGCTGTTGTTTATAATATATTGTTAAATATGGCCCATTAATTCCTCCTAGAAATTCGTCGTTATCTTTCAATTGTCACTCGGAAAAATCTAATTTATCTTCTCGTGAGTCACGTTACTATCGGCGGTGAACAGTTTGCCTTCCTCGTGAACGATGCCACACACTCTCTCGAGATGGCTATTCCTAATCCGTGGTCGTAGCGCTAACACGTCGCGTATACGCAGCTTAACGCACGTACAACGCACTCGAAGCACGAGCACTCGCGACGTGACCCATCCTCCCTTCCCTCCGCCGTGTATTACAGCTACGTTACACGCGTGTAACTTTCCGTGCGCGTGAAGGGTACAACGAGTGGTTCGGCGTACTTCGCTCACGAGCACCCACTGTACGCGCAATTATGTTTTCGACGAACGCGCGAGTGGTATAAAGTGGACGGAAAAGAGGCCGCGTCGAAAAAGTACCTAACCGCGGCTACTAAGAAAAGAGTGTGTGTACAGTACGGCAGCTTTCGACTTTTCTCTCTCGTTCCGCCCTTTTCCATTACGTACACGTATGTGTGTGTGTCGTTGGTTTTCCTAGTCCTGGAAGATTTTCGTTCACCGTGTCGTCGAGTAGGTGGAGAACGTTTTGAAACGAGGGAACGTGGGTTTTGGTTGTGGAGTATATTGAAACGGGGTAATATACAGAGGGATTTCGGATAAGTTTGCTCGTTTCGTTCACACCGAAACATTTTGCAAATGCTCCTATCAGCATGGAGGAAAAGTGTGTCGGATTACAAACGCATGGATTCGAGCCAACACTTCAATGACTTCGTTCGATGTGACTGCAGGAGTGAGTCTATGACTTCACCGCACCTTGGAGTACAGCGACAGTCCGATGACCGTGATTGCGAATTGCGTTAGATAAGCAGCAGATGCGGGTACAGTGCGGTGGAAAAGTTTGGAGCATTGTTTGTTACTCGGACGAAAGATTTTTTAGTAAAATAGCATTTCACAAGCGTGGTGTAAAATGAAAATTATCTCATTGAGCTGTTGAAATGGCCAAGATTTAAAATAGATCTGTGGAAATATTTATTAGAAGCTTGGAGCAATATCAAACCGGAAATAATTGAGAAATTAAATTATGCGAAGCGGTCATACGAAGAAAGAGGACTTTGCTAAATTTGTATTGTTTTTCGGGAAAGATAAATCTCATGTTTAATGAGATTTTCGATGAAAAGTTGATTCACTTAAGAGAAACCTCGTTTCTCCTGAAATCATGAATGCGCCAAACTTTCGAGCAGTAGCGTACGTAATACAAACTTCATTCCGCGCGAGAAATAGTAATTTCCCTCGATCGTGGACCAATTTTTCAAACCAGTAACTAGAACAGGCGGAATTACAAAAATAAAAAAATGAAACGAAACGATATTACGCCGTTTGCCCTGCGAAACTGCTAGTTCCCTCCCGGTAGGTCCCGCGAGGAACAAAGAGTACACCGTAGTGGGTTAAATCGAACGGAGTAATGAAACGAGTCCGCGCCGTTCAACGTGGATAGTATTAAAGTTACGAAAGTAATTACAGACGAACACTCTCTCGATTGTATCGAGCTTAGGGGATCAAGTCGGCCCACGATCTCTCTGTTCCGTGTCCAGAAACTTTTCTTCCCGACTCTGTAGCCAAGGGCCCGGCCGGCCACCACGGCTCGCCCGTAGAAAATGCAAGTAACGACCTTCTTCTCTGCGAACGGTCCCGAACCAGACCGTGTAGGAAACACCGGAGAATCAAGATAGACGGAGAAAGAGCGAGGAGAACCAAGGGAGAGGGAACGAGTACGAAGGCAAAAAGGAAGAAGAGAGAAAGAAAGGAAGAAAGAGACCAGAGGAAGAGAGAGAGAGAGAGAGAAAAAAGGGAGAAAAATAATGGAAAGAGCGGAGCACCCATAAAGAAGTAGAGGGAAAGGGGAGATAGCAGCGTGTATTATAGGTTTGCCGAGCCTGTAATCATCGCGGGACCGCGAAACGCCCATCGACGCCCTCTCATTCTGCCTCTCGCCATTCTATTTTCCTCTCTCCTTATTCGACCCATCCTCGGGCAGTTTCCTCGGGTTCTTTTCGTCCCTGTGTCTCCTTCTCGTCCCATTCTCTCTCTCTCTTCGAAGCGTCGTGCCGACTCTATAATCATTATCAACCTCTTCCCAAACCATCTTCCTCTCGTTTTTTTCTTTTTTCTATCGCTCCTTTTTTTTACTCGTCTCTTCTTCTCCTTTTGCTTCTCTCTTCGGTATCTCGCGCCGCTTCCTTTAATTCTCTTTCTCCCTGCGTGCGTGTTATTCGTGGACGCCCTGAACCGCCCTTCTATCGTACTTTCCCCACTTTTTTCTTCGGTTTTAGCGTACTGTGATCAGTCCCGGATTCTATTAATCTTTGGTAGGAATTTGACGGTGGTCTGGAACCTGAGAGGGTCGCGTGCCCGATAAGAATGTGGAGTTACGGCGATATTGCTGTGAGGAAAATTTTGGAATTTTCGTACGGTGAGATTGATCGAGCTGGAGATTTAACGATTTGAGAATTATTCTAAATCACCTGTGTCAGTGGTATATATCTGCGAAGAATTATTTTTGCAACGTAAGATTTCCAATTTTGTGATTTTCGTAGGATAAGATTGATAGAGTTGGAGATTTAACGATTCGAGAGTCTTTTTTAAACATGCGAACGTGTCTGTTGAACATATGTTAATTCGAACCCGATGAATTCAACACCGGTGAACAGATAAGGATCGCAAGAATTACACGAGAGTGGATGATGTGCAAGTCTATCGATGTTGTTTCGCTGATACGATCTTTATTATTCCAAGACAATTAAGACGTTTGACGTAACAGAGGAAAAGTACACATTTGCAAAATATATAAAATTATACATGAAACTTAAAAAGGGGAACTTCTTCTCTTGTTGAAGTGTCATCTCGAAATAGATCTTACGCAGCATGCACGAAAGATAATAATTTTAAATTTTCAGAATTGCAAAATTTTGGATATCCAAGTTCTAACTTGTTTTTTTTTATATCCTCTACGTATTAAGGATTTCTTCGTTGAGTCGAGGTTCGGCGCGTATTCCACGCGCGGAAGGGTGAAACGGTGTGTCGGGCCTCTACGAAAATGATCGAAAATGAGCGATATACGATTCCGTTTCGCGGATAACAGAGATTTTATCCGCGAACGAGCACCGAAATCTACGTATTCGAGCCACGCTGTCGTCCGGGTGGCGCGTAGGCGAAGTCGAAATCGATTATCACGAATGGTCGCGTGACAATTGATAATAACCGTCGACGCGGGTAATTACGGTTTTGTCACGTTGATCGAACCGCAGGAAACACGTGGGTAATCCGTTGTTTCAGTCTACGCCGGTTGTCTGTTATTTAACCAGAGATTAACGGCTGTGTAAACCTACACTTCTGTTCACTTTCCAATATGTATTTCTTCGTCTAGTTCTATCGTTCGCTCGTTTCTCCATCGACTTACCTCAACCCCGTATAATTATTCGTACGAACCGAAAACTTCGCGAGAAAGATATTGAACAAATATACACGAAAGCGTACTTTTCTTTTTCTTGGAGATTTAAAGACACGATCTGTCACGGTCACTAAATAGACAAACGATCAAGTCTGCAAACTTAGACTGTAAGATTGTAGATTGCGAATAAAGGAGGAAGGATTTTCGTCTTTTCTATCTTTTTCTTTTTTTTTTTTTTTAATCATTGGAATTCGTTGGACGTGACAGATCGAGAAACTTGTACAAGTTGATCGAAACACGGTACCGTATTTTGGCGGGTTATTTGAAATGTCGGAGTGTACACGGGCATCGAGAGAACCGTAATTTTCGTTACGTTACAGAGGAGCTCGATATCGCCCGGTGATAAATACAGTCGTCCGCGAACACCGCAGGAGACGCATCATTCCCATCATTCGCAGAATCACCATGACCATCCCATGCACATCAAGAAGATGAAGAAGGAGCAGGACAAGGACATCGGTCATGTGAGTGTTTGCGCTGCGTTATTGTTCCCACTGCGTTTGTTGGTTTTCCTAAGCCTGATGCAGCTCTCGAGCTTTTTAACTTTGCGTGATTATGTTAGTTTCTTTAGAAAATTGTTTGGTTTTGAGAAAAACGAATTTTTTATTTAATTGGACTAAAGAAGTAGATATTATGCAGCATGAGTGTACAATTTTGGATATTAAAATTTGAACTTTTCTTTATATATTCTATATGGTAAGAGTTTTTGTATACTTTGTTCTTGAAACAGGCAAAGATGTGAAAGAAAGGATACGAGGGTTTTTGGTAATGTTAATTATATGTACAATTTTGGATATTAACCCCTTAACTTGCACGCTCGAGTTAATTCGAGCGCGCTAAACAGGCCAAACTGTGCACACTCGAGATAATTCGAGCGGCGTTGTATTTGATGCTGCTATAATTTTTCACACTCGAATATATTCGAGAATTGAAAATAACAATGTGAAAGCTAAGAAAAAGAATCGTGTTATTGATATTTATCATTTACATAGGATTGTAAGCTATAATACTTATTTATTCGAAAATAAAATATAGCCTTTTTCCATGGAACAAAAGCGCAGTATATCGAAATTGTCCACTAAAAGAAAAGTTGAATCAGGAGTGATAACAAATGGAAACCTTTGAGGATGTCGATGTTCTAAAGTTTGTTTTTTTTACATTAAAAAAATTGATTTTTTTTGGCCGGTTTTTTTCAAAAAAACTGTGCGTTAAGGGGTTAAATTTCACAAAATTTTATGTTTCTTGTGGCTTTATGACACGTTAATTACTATCGAGTGTTTATGAGTAAGCATCAGAAAGACTCACGTCCCTTACAAATAAAAAGAGTTTCTATGTCCATAAAATACCTTCTGGGCACCTCGACATTGTTTTAAAGAGGGATTTACCCCTTTCGTTACTAACTGTGACTATAGTCACCCATTCTCTCGCGTTCCATGCATACTAACTGTGACTATAGTCACCCATTCTCTCGCGTTCCATGTATACTAACTGTAGTAACTATAGTCACCCATCGTCGAGCGCTCATTGTACACTAACTGTGACTATAGCCGCCTATCGTCGAGCGTTCGCTGTGTTCAAGCGGTAACTATAGTCACTCATTCTCGAGCGCTCCATGTATACTAACTGTGTCCATAGTCACCCATTGCTGATCGTTCGCTATATTCTACCAGTGACTATAGTTAACCATCGTCGAGCGGTTGCTGTATACTAACGCGACTATAGTCACTTATTGTCGAGCGCTCCCTATATCCTACCGGTGACTATAGTTACCCATAAAAATTTGGAGCACAGTTTCGTTGTATTATCTTAACAACTGTGAAAGTAAAAAAAAAAAACCAATAATGTCACTAAAGTGTACGTTCGTGTTTTGACTAGCTTTGAAGCTTAATTAAAGCACTCAAATTCAACAGAACTGTGCATTACCCCAACCCTCGATAACCGTTCCACGATTCACCCGATAACCCCGATGTCCCTTCACGGTGTCTGCAGAGCGACGGTGAAAAGAGCGATCAGGATTTGGTTGTGGACGACGCGAGCGAGGGACCAACGAGCCCGGTAGTAAACGGCACAACGTCACCCCGAGAGAACGGTCTCGACAAAGTTGCACCCATGGGTGCCGGTGTTCAAACGAAGAAAGACGTTCCTCCGCATTCGCCGAGAAGCGGAACAAGTAGCAACGCGAGCACACCCTCCGCTAAGAAAATGGAGGAACGGGAGAAACCAACGACACCGATCTCCAAACCATTGACGCCCACGTCAGGTTCCGCGATCGGCGGTGGTTTGAAACTATCGGCATCGGCCAAGCTGCTTCAGGGTCCGCCACCTCCCGGTGTACCCAGCGCGTATCCACCGCACTATGCTCCTGGACCACCACCTCACCATCTGGCACCAGCTGGCCAGCATCCACACGTCGACATGATGGGTTACAATGGCTACGCGGCGCCTAGAGCACCACCTTCGCTCCAACAGCTCTACGATCCCCACGCGGCCATGAGAGCTCCCATGGGATCCGTCGGAGTACCCGGAGGCAAACCGTGAGTACACTCGAGCAATTTCTAGGATAAAGCTTCGATTCTTAGAGGTGTACATTGGACACGATGGTTAGGTGATAAATCATGGTTAACACGTTCACTCGCCACGCCAGATTTACATGTTTTGCTCTCAGGGGACCGGAAGAAAATCTTTTATTGTCCTAAGTGTTATACTATGCTTGGTATGTTTTATTACTTTTTTTTTTAATTCAAAATAATGTCTGAAATTTTTAGTTGACGATATTCATTTTATTTTAATTGTTCTAAACATTCGAGACACTCCGGTCACCGATGGATCTATCGAGGAAACAATCTCCGGCCCCGGGTGGCCAACGTGTTAACCCTTGTGCGTTCTTCCGCTCGACTATAAACTTAACACGTTGTCAGACGTGAATTCGGGTTTTTTGTTTCTCAAATGTTAGTCACGGGAGACGTGAATTGTCACCGTTCGTTTTGCTATTGCTGGTGACGAGATACGCTAATTAGCATCATCTACAGCTCTACTATTAAACGAAGTGTTACAAATTATTTTTTAAAAGCTACACATGTCAAACGTGTCAATTTATCATTTTTATTAAAATTCATTCTTCGAGTAGGTACATATTTTTTTTCAAATATCAAAATCGTGTCGTTTAAAAAACAACGTTCAACTTCATACGCAAAGACAGAATTACCAATGCGTTCTAAGCCTTCCTCGAATTATTCGACAAATATTCTACAATTCGTGCGACCTTTACACTAATCAATTCTTAGTTCTACCTCGGATATTAAGCCACTGTAGAACCAGCGGATAATTTCTCCTGACGTAGAATTTAACCTAGACCTAACCTAGATCCCCGTAGAACCTAACCCCCGTCGTTCATCCGCTTATCAACGTCTATCCACCCACCTATGGCGATCGCTTAATGAAGCTGTACGGGTTAATATTTGATCCGAAGATCGAGCATTCGTGCGTCGACTAATGACTAACAGTTGATGCATAACGTATAACTATTGGCCACTATATGGCACACGTTTCTAACCACGTGTACCAGAGTTTTCTCGTATTCGAATCTGGCGAGGGAAAATCGATCGGAAAGAAGAGAAGAATTGTGAAACGAGAGTGGCAAGAGAGTGGTAACACGTTTACCTTGTCGCCAAGAGAGCATTATCAGATGGTATCTCTGGTAGATTCGACGATGCGTGATCCACGAAGCGTAACCAGTTTTCGAGACGAATCTAACCTGAATGAAGGCTAAGTGACTGTGAGATCGAGTCGAAGCTGTTTGCCTTTCGTAGGGATTATAAAAATGCGCCGGTATTCCACCTGCGATAAGATAATTCGATTAAGCGCGTTATCGTGGATATTTAGATGGGGATTTTTAAACGGGGGAATTTATTTGGCACAATTATTTTTTTTTTTTATGTCGTACGGAATTTTTTCGTTACTGTGTTATTCGTTAATTGTGTTGGAAATTTTTACAGTCTGTGATTTTTCTCTTTTTTTTTTTGGTGGTTGTGTGTGTGTGTATAATGATATAGGAGGAAACACGATGATCGCGAATGTTGATATTTTATTTAAAAAAATTTGCATCACAATATGAATGATTTGTTCGGCAAGCAATAAAAATACAGGTTTTGCATTCGAACGAGAAGATCGAACGTTGATATAATACGGTTTTTTTGGTTTAACGTTGTTTGATATTCGGTCTGCTTGCCAGCACAGGGCTTGTTATCTACGCTTCTGTTTGCTATGAAAATTCAGCGATCCTGTTGTTTATTGTAGCCACGGACTGTTAAAATACGATGCATTATCGATATTTTTATTTTAAAGCAGATGTCAATGCCGCGGAAGATTAATGCTCAAGATAAAGCCCGATAGAGCACGTAGTGTTGTGTGTACATAGTGTGGGAACAAAGTCTATTTGCGAAACACGCTAATGTACATAATTAGCGGTAGTGGAAAATGTTCTGATAAACGCGGCAAAATCAATATTTTCAAAGTATCCAGGTTGATTTCGCCGAAATAGAAGCTAACCCGTTCCCTTTACCGCGAAAAATAGAAGGAGACTAAACCTGTTCAATCTAGATTTCGCGAAAAACGGTAATCAATCGTCCAATGTCGTATTTTTATCAAATTTCATTCTCGAAGATTAAATGTACTCCAATATTTCCACGTTCTGTTTTTTATATTCGAGTGCAATACGTATGCTGACTTCAAGAAAATCTAAATTTCGCGAAAAACAGTAATCAATTATTCACTATCACATTTTTACCAAATTTCTTTCTCAAACATTAAATATACTCCAATATTTCCACGTTCTATTTTTTATATTCGAGTGCAATATCTACGTATACTCAAGCGCACACTGATTCCAAGAAAATCTAAATTTCGCAGAAAACAAAAATCCAAATTTTTACCAAATTTCATTCTCAAAAATTAAACATACTCCAATATTCCCACGTTCTATTTTTTACACTCCAGCGTACCTATGCATACTCGAGCACACACTGACTTCAAAAAAAAAAAAAAAAAAAAAAAAAAAGGAAGAAAAAGTGGAAGTTTGGAATACTCGAGTGCCGGTGTGTAGCCCGATTAACTTCTCCAGTTTCGTTAAACGGTCGTTGTCCGCGCGGATCGTCGAACGTGTCAGCGAGCGTAACAGGCCAGTGTGGCGGAGGACGGTTGGCAGACGCGTGTTCACCGCACGAGTCGCATTTTTCTCGATATTTCAGCGCGTACAGCTTCCACGTGTCGAGCGAGGGCCAGATGCAGCCGGTGCCCTTCCCACCGGATGCGCTCAGCGGACAAGGGATACCGCGTCATGCGCGGCAAATTAATACCCTCAGCCACGGGGAGGTCGTGTGCGCTGTCACGATCTCCAATCCGACCAAGTATGTGTACACCGGCGGCAAGGGATGCGTCAAGGTCTGGGACATAGGCCAGGGCGGCACGGGAAGCACCAAGTCGGTCTCACAGCTCGACTGTCTGCAGCCTGATAACTACATCAGGTCAGTGGTTCTCTTCATTTTTCTCTTTCGCTTGGAAACACTTGTTTAAATGGTTCTTTTCGGTGTTTCTGTTCCTTTTGGAAACGTTTTATTCGGTGGTTCTCTTCTTTTTGGAAATATTTTATTTTCCGCGTCTAGGAAGCTTTTGATTTAACCCTTTTTTTCTTATTTAATTCGGATAGATAAAATGTTACTGATTTATTTTGTACGATGATGGCTTTAACTTAGTTTATCTGTACGTTTTGGTCAGGTTAGGTATACTTGGAATAAGTGGAATGTTGATGTGGTGGTGAATTGTTAATTAACGTGGCAAACTTGTAATTCTCAATATTTGCGCAAACCTAAATTACGTTAATTACGTTAACAATCACGCTTGACACTCACTACCAACGACCTTCGTAAATTATCGATGACTCAAGAAACGGACCAAATTCCGTACAATTAATCCCCCAAACATCCTCAAACACAGCATTCCTCCCAACAAAAAAATCTACAAAACTTCGCTAACGGCGGTGTCAAACTCACCAACCATCCACAAACAACACCGCTCATTCGCTAAATTATGCAAGCTACGAACCGTTCGTTTCCCGTTCAAACCTAACCAAACCTAAGCTAACCAAAAAAAGAAAAAGCAAACGATTAAAGCGGGGGGCAAAAAGAAATCAACGACAGAGGGAACGAGGACACGAAACCACCGCATAATGAGATTCGATATTCCGCTCACGAAACGTTCGAAAAATCGTGCGTGGGGAGGCCGAAATGTCGGTTCGCCGTGTAGAACAAACGTTCGACGTTTTCACGATACATTTCGCGCGCGATGCACGTTTTAACGTGGATGGCCCGGGTATAATATCGCCTCTCGTATGACTGTTAATGTCCGCGATACGCGCGGTAATTGAAGCTGGCCGCGTTTTTTGAACGCCGATCCGACCCACCGGCAAATTTAATACATTTCCTCGGTA